TGACATGGATGGGAAGCTGATTCCACAGTTATGAAGCTTGGTAGTTAAATGCTCTGCCGCCTACAATGCTTTTTCATATTTCAAACATAAATAAGACTCCAAAAGTGCAAACAGAGTCAAGTTGTACTCTCAATCAGATTAGCTTCCAGCAGAATGACAGTTGTGTGGGTCTCTGCTCTCCAAAGTTTTGGCAAAGTGAAATCCATGAAACATAAATAAACATAGTGCACGCGGAAGTTGAACATCCTAAAACTGTTTAAAAAAATATTGGCTGAGAACATGGTGTCTCATGACATGAACGGATCAAGAGGAGGTAACCTGCGTCCCCAAGTTTGATTTAGCTCGATTTGTTTAGTACATACTGACTCCATTATGAAATCAATTCTTATATAATTATCTTTACTTAAGAAAGTATTGTTTTGCACATTATTTAAATGTTGTAGGTTGATGCCAGTGTGAAGACCCAAATGAGTTCCGGTCTTGCATTTTATTTGCCGACAGTGTGTAAGTTTTTGACAGCTGCTGTTGCAGAGGTACGTTTGCAGCGAGGTTAGCCTGGGTTGTCTCTGCCAGCACTGTGCTTGTTATTCCGATGATGGAGGGAAAGTAGGGAAAGAGGGAAAGCTTCCTGATCTTCATTAAGAATGACTCAGCGACTTTTTGAGTTCGTCAGCGTTTCTGGGGCATATGACGTTCCAGGATGCTGCTGTTGCTACTGGGGGAGCCGTTCAACACAGGGAGTTTAAAACTAAGGCTCCACTGAAGACAACTATTAGTGCTGTATGTGCATGCTGGGTAAATAAGGAGGAAGAAAAGTCTTCAGGTTCAGTTTCAAAACAAAGAAATATTTATTTGAAGGAGAAATTTGAACTGGAATCCACAACTTAGTTTGAAGAGCATGCAGGACATATGTGTAGTCATTTTAAGTGCTTTCAAATGTGCCACAGTTTTATTTGTGTCAATCATTGCTTTGAAGTCCACGTGAATCTATCAGACTGCCTGATGAAGACCAACAAAGAATAAAGTTTGAGACAAGCAACACTGATCCTTCCCACAACATCTTCATGGACAAAAGTTAGGAAAACCTTGTAATGTAAAATATATCATTATCACTGATAATATTATGTCACTGGACAATGACTTGTGGAACTTACTACTGCGCCACCAGTGGTTAGCACTAGTCCTTCACAGACAGACGTGTCCTGAGTGTGCAGACTGGTATATTTATAGTTGAAGGGCAACAGATATGATTAAAAGCCATGGATAACTCCTGGGTTGCGGAAGGCCTGTCAAAAGAAAAACAAATTATACTGAGACCTCATCAAGTACTGTATGTAACCATTCCAAACATCATGAAAGTAGATACAAAGGGTATAAATACAAGTTAACAAGTATAATGCGACTGGCAAAAAGAGACTAATACAAAAGTAAGTTAAACGAGAATAAGAGCAATATTAAAGAGACTTGGAAAACTCTCGAAAAGGCGATGAATGAAAATTCTCAAAGATCAACTCTGCCAGAATACTTTGTGCAGAATGGAAATGTAATTAATAATGGAATAGATATTGCGGAGGAGTTCTATTATTTTTCTGTTAATGTCGGCCCTAATATTGCCAAGAAGCTTGAAAACTCAAATCATAGAAATAGCCAAAAAACAGGCGAAAGAAGCCAAATTTTCCAGTCTATGTTTCTTGATGAAATAACAGAGGCTGAAATTCTGGACATTGTTCAAAAATATAAAGTAGAAGTATTGGCATTTTGTAAAAGGTCAAACATACTCTAGACAAGACTTCATTGATGTTGTTATTTACAACTTTAATCGTTCCTTATTTTACCTTTTGCATCGAGGTTTGGGGAAATGCTTGTATTTTGGCCACAGAAAAGTTATATCTACTTCAAAAGAAAGCTGTAAGAATCATCTGCCACAAAGCCCGAGAGACCACACAAATAAACTCTTCACACAATTACAACTCCTGAAATTTAAAAATCTTGTTCACTTCAAAATTATTCAAACAATGTGGAGGGTGAAGAATAAGTTGGTGCCAGTGCACATCCATAATAAATTCGTTTTAATCACAGACAGTTGTAATAGAAGGAAAATAAATTTTTGTGTGCCTTTTTCAGAAAGGTTTCCTTGTAACCCGTGCTTAATTTGTAAATCATAAGGTGCAAAGTACACAATGACAGCGCAGGTAAACGAAAGTGCCGGAACGTACAAAAGACGTTTTTTTAAAAACAACATTCAAATGGCCGCTTGCCTTGCTGTGGGACTTACAGCTAAAATCCATACTTAATAATACATATTATACAATAGTTAGGCTAGAGGTTACTCTGCACAACACAGGCAAATGCCCACTTCACCGCAGGTGGGACTTACAGAATACAGTCAGAAATAAATTTCTCAACAAAATCAGAGTTTACAATAAATCACACAAATCTTCCAATTATTATTTAAAAGTTGGCACGGTGGCCTATTAATAAGAGTATGCTTACCTATTTAGTTGTCCAAAATGCTCCACAGCACGAGCAGGTCCGGATTATTCTCCTTCTCTCTGTTTCGGGTTTTACTGCACGTATCCGTGGCAGTTCTGTGTTCTTTGGTCACCCACAACCTCACGTACGGGACTGGGTTGAATTTAGCCAGGGGAGGTCCAACAAGATTTAGGAAGAGTAACAATGATATTATGGTTATGAGCAGAGAGCCACGGTGGGGAGTGCAAATCAAGTTCATTTGAGAAAATCCCCGCTCACATTCAGCACTTGCAATGGGAATGCTGTTGACAGCAGTAAATAACTCAATCAGTTCATCAGGCGTGTCGTGTCGATCTGAGTCTCTGTACTTTCTGTAGGCCCGTATGACTGCGCGTGGGTCAGATATATTAAAGCGCAGACACAGTGCCTCAACCTCAGTCTCCTCATAAAGCGCACCTGCGTCTTCGGGCCAATACTGCGCATAAAGCACCTTCAACTCCTCAATGAACTTGTTATATCCCGTTTTCGTTTTGTCTGGTACCCGGCCTCCTTGGGATAACATCCGATTCTCCAGGTTCTTGGCCACAGTTTGGAAAAATAGCTTGGCGTCCAGTGTTTTGTCGCTTGATTTTCCTTCATTTAGTGTGATTCCTTGGAAATAGTTTTCCTCAATTCCTCTTTGGCTCAGTACAGTGTAGCGCCCTGGCCTATCTGACAATGCCTCAAACACCCTGATTTCACGACATATTGTTTTGTGGGCTGAAATGATTGTAATGTCTCATTTTGAAAGCTCTACTGAGAGCTCAGATAATTCTTGCAACGCGTCGTACATATGCCTAAATTGTTCACAAACGCATGTGAAGATAAACGCATAGCAAGTCTGCTGTATGTTTGTTTTGCGATGCTATCACGGGAGGGATCTTCAGATGCAGTTCTGAAATGTTTGTAAAGTGCTGGATAGTTCTTCCACACTGCATCAACGGTTCTAAAACTTGATGCTACCCATATATATATATATAACTTGTCCATCAATATTTCAAAGTGATTTATAGCGCCCATCTCTTTCACTACCTCTGAGACTGCGAGCTCAAGCCTGTGCGCTGCGCAGTGCCACAGAGTAATGCTGGGGAAAATGGCCTGGAGCCGGGTCGCTACTCCGCTTTTACGTCCCAACATAACAGAAGCGCCATCACAAGTAACACTAATGAGGGTTCGAGAGAGAAAATCTTGAGTTAAATGCAGGCGCTCCAGAGCAGTTAATATTTTGTTGACAATACCTTGAGCAGTTAGATCGTCGAGCTCCACAAGTTCAGTGAAAATGTTTGTGAGCTTGTCCATATCAGGTAACTGAGCTAATGTATATGCTCAAACAGCTCTTCTTGCTTAAACTGGTTGACACATCCAGCATTAGACTGAGTTTGGGTGCGCACTGTACTATTTTTTCAAACAGTTTCTTTTTCATTTCATCTGAAATATGTTTCTGTATGTTTGCACATGCAACATTGGAGTGTAAAATCCTCCCCATATCGAGTCCATTTAACTCTTGGCAATCAATCTCATGTTCGAAGCCATACTGTATGCCGGACGGTTGCGTTTAGACTCCTTGTATGCCGTGCGAAAGACGCGAGCTGTCTTACCCGGACATTACACAGTAGGCGTAAACAGCGCGTACGCGTTTACTGCGCGCTTTCTGCACGTAACATTTTTTTGGAGTATCTACACAGGCCGTGCGCGCAGGTCCGCGGCTTCTGATGCTGTCCTTGTGTAGTCTATGGAGCAGTGAAGAGGACAGTACGGGCCAGAGGACTGATGTAGAGCAACACAAATCACATGCATGTGTTTGTCTTCGTGGTCTCTGTGCGCTGGTTTGGCCAGACGCGAGACTTTATGAAAGAAAAAAAACAATGTCCTGAATCACTGTAAAACCTGCTGCTCCTCCTGCTGATGTTTAGACACAAGTGCTGTGTGTGTGCAGATGTGATCTAAAGCCAAGGACCGCTAGAAAAATCATGTTTTACATGAGATTTCAATGGGAGACGCATTGGTGCGCGCACAAAATTAGAAATCCATCCTAAATTAGAGAGCGCAGCTTCGCGTCATACGTCCGTCGTTCGCGCGTATAACGCTAGAAGTGTAAATATCATCATAGGTTAACATGGAAAAAAGTTACGCGCGTCTGCTGCGCGTATAACGCGTACGTGCTGTAACGCGTGATGTCTAAAGTAGCAGTTAGTCATCTGTTCAGACAGACTATTAATTACAGACTGTCCTAAAGTGTCTTCTTTAGCCTTCTCAAGAATACTTGCTGCTGCTAGGTGAGCTTTGGTACGGGCATGTTCAAAGACTTTTTTTCTGAGCGCTTTGCTGTTTTTTTACATCAGAAGAAAATGAGGCCAGTGTACTTGACACCCACTCTTTAGCAAGTTTCATCCCTCCCGTTTTCTCCGGCCCCAAAGTCCCCACCGCCTTACAAATTGTGCAGCCCAAACCAGAACTGTCCATAAGAAGCCAGGGTTAGTAACTCTGCTTCACCTTGAACTGAGCAGCAGTCCAAACAGTTGCGCACCTGACCTGTCGCTGGATGAACCACATTCCTCTCCGCTCAGTGCGCGCTCCTCTCCTTCTGACGCTTCATGAAAGAAGCGCGTTGATGTCGTGGTTCCCGCCTCTTGCTGCTGTAATTGGCTAGCTGATATCTCCATACTGGCCACTTGCTCCGGTTGTTGGTGGCGGTCCACATGATGGCTGATCGGGTGCGCTGTATCTGCCCCCCACTCAGGCGGGCTATGAACCAGGTCACCTGTTGCGGGGCTAGCCTCTGCCTCCTGGTTACTAGCATCGCCACTTGCTGCTTTCCTCACTCGTTTAGTAGCATCATGCAACTTGTCCGTCTTCTTGAAAAAAGACATAAGATTCATTTTTGACATGTTTGCGCTGAAACTCCGTATATTCCTCTCTCTTGGTCAGTTGGTCAACTCGGTCCTTGCCGTAAAAATCCCAGACGCGGCAAACCTTACTTTCTGTGATGGGCGTGGTTTGATCCCGACTCTCCCAAATTACGTTAAATGTATTTATTTATTTATTTGTTTCAATTGTGGACAAAAACAATACTACACATATTACAATTACATTTCAAATAATTGTTGTCTTGTCGCACAAATGAAAAGGAGCAGAAAGAAGAAAAAAAATCTTATGTTGCCTGCCCCTTTCTTCATACATATACAAATTAAATAAAACATTTAAAAAAAAAGAAAAAAATAAGATGGCCTTTAGCACTTCTTCAAACTGTTTTTATTTTATGTGTTTTTGTTTTAATGATTCTTTGTTTTTTATTGTTTTTTTCTAATCATTCATTTCGTACGATTTCACTGTTTGAGTAGAGAACATGAAATTTGTTGGATTTATTCTGTAAATGAATATAATTATTTTTTCTTATGTATTTTCAGACTTTTTTAAATGATCATTTTGAATATTTATATTAGAGGTGACGGATCTGCCCAAATAAGTCCCGGAACACGTAGAGGCCAAAATCAAGAGGTGCCGGATCCTGTTCCGGCAGGATCCGGCACTTGTAGCAGGAAATAAGCTTTGAAAAAAGTATTTGCAAAGTATGGTAGATAATTGGTCGTTCAAAATCCTACAAAAATAGAGGTAAATCCACAATAATTGCAACAAAGTGAAAGATGTGTAAAGGGAAAAAAATATTAAATAAAAAAACTGAACCATCTTATTTCTAATTTCTTTTAACTAATTATGTGTTAAGAGGCATGAAATATAAGACATTGTCTTCCACATGCTCCCATTCAGCAGCATGTAATTGAATTGAATTACTTGTGTTTTTGTTATTTTTATTATGATTGTAATAATGTCATGGGTGAATAAATAAAATAAATGAAAATAAATAAAACGTGTATAGCACTGCTGTTCAATAATACACACTGTCTCATTCTGATGAAAATTTTCTTTACTTTTTAGAAATAGAGGACAGCTTAGAAAACTATTAGCCCCAGCCCCACTGCATTCATCAAACATGTAACACTAGGCCTGTTTCCACACCACCAGAAAACTATTCAATCAGCATACTGAGTAGTGAGAAAATGTCATCCCTGCCCTTCCAATAATCTACCTTAAATGGTTAATCATAAAAATGAGAGGCTGAAATTGATTCCTGTTATTTTGTCAAGTTATTTTCATACAAAGCAGATGTCACATGAGAGTGTTCTATCCACCATTGGCTGGTTCAACAACAACACACTGAGTGTGCGCCAGTAAATATACACTGTAGCTGTGACAACAACTCCTGAATTCATTTGGCTTGAGTGTATATTGAGGCACTTCTTTACAATTATCTGAAGAGCTGGATTATTTTTTACATCATTCCAGTGTTGCAACATGTGATTATCTTTCTCTGTATGAAATTAAATGTCTGACTGCGTAGAAACTAGAATTACCTGTATGTTCCATTGAGCCAATAGATATATTTGGCTTACATGAAACCCACCAACTAAATCACATCACTTTTTTATTTGCCCATGCAAAAAATTGATTGTACAATTCATTACGATATTGTTGTTTATCTCCGTATTTCTTTCCCATACTTCATTTGTTATGGCAGATTAGCCACATTATGTTAGGCATACTGTTGTTGGTTTTGGTATTTTCAGGATTGCAACGTTTTAGAACGCATATCATTCACACCATTTGCTACCTCCTTGTCTGTGTGACTGGTTAATCCCCATAACAACTCCTCACAGCCCCCCTAAAGTATTGACTTCCACTTTGTACCATACTACTGTTCAGATGGCTGTTTTACTCCCCTCCGCAGCAGCATCGAGGCAAAGCTGGATTGTGATGCATTAACAAAACAAATGGGCACTGTGTCGGATCAAGACGGATTCCCATTTTTCATATATTATTCTCACAGAGACTTAAGAGCCGCGCTTGAGCCTATTGTGTAAGCGCAGCTGTAAAGAGTCAAGAATGTTCAAGCCTTGCTCAATGTCTTGTCAGAAATAGAGAGAGGAGGAGGAAAGAATGCCAACATTTTTATAGACACTGAGCTTTGCCTGTCTGCGGAGAAGGGCTGAACAATGTGTGAGAAAGAAAGTATATGAATGTCAAGGCCTGTTATGTTTATGTTTTGCTGTGGGGTAACATCCTTAGATAATGATTTCACATTTTGTTGCTCATTGATTCGAGACTGCTTAATGAAAGAAAAAGGGTCATTAACTTCCTTTTCAAGTTAGAGAATTGAGAGACCTCACCTCTTCACAGTTGCATTTAATTATGACAGATGGCAATTTATCAATTCAATTATGAGTAAGCTAAAGAGGATGTTACGACATAGGTTATTACACATATGAAACTGCTCCGATACTATAAGTTTGGTACTATCCGAGATGTCGGCTTGGTCAGGCTTTTTGAAGGATTTTAGCACTGTGTGGACAGAAGTTCAGGAGCAAGGAGGAAGCAAGACCTGATTGACTGTTGAAAATGCATTAAGGTCCACAGTGGTTATATTGAATTATTGTATATGAAATAAATAATTACTGATATGAAATTTGCTCTATATATGATCACAATTGATCACTTGATAACTAAAACAGAAATAAAACGTTTCTAACTTATTATGTCTTCATGATAAACTCAATATGAATGATCCTGTTATTCCAGATTCTTAGAATAAGCTGTGATGGAAGCTCTCAGTAACTTACAGGTTTCCTCTGTCTTTTGAGTTATCAAGCTGAATCATTACTGTGCACAGTGGACAGCAGGCAGCAGAGCCACAGGACCTTAATAACTGAAGCTCCAGCTGCTGTCCATGGTCCTGATGCTGGGAAGCACAATACTGAGCCTGTGTTTGAGAAATGTTCATGGCAGACACGGATCAGATCTTAAATGAAATTTCACCAACAAAAGAAATGACATGTTTTTAGAGCATACTCATAGTGTGCAAAGCAATAATGTGTGTGTTTTTCACTTACATAAGCAATATATACTAATATTTATCAAAGAAAGTAAATGCTTGATTTAATCTGCTCTTCTCAATTCTGTATCCAAGTTACCACCCTTCCATGTGAGATACCATGGCCACACCCTTCATGTGATGTCCAGTGGCGCATCAGAAGCCGGCGCAGAGGTGAGCTGCACTGACCTGAGGAATCCCACTGAGGATTGCCAAAGCCTTGCAATCATTCCACTTTCTTTGGAGCTCAGAGTAAATCTCCCAGGGACTTTCTCATAAACATCCAGCACAGGCACATCCAGACATTGCTTTGTTCTGAGCAAGAACAGAATGTTTCTGATTTTCTCTCTACTAAAAAGCAATCTGTGAAATTTAAACATATCAAATCTGAAAGTGTGAGTGTTCAAGGTGGCTGGTGCGCAAAACCTGGTTCTGGTTTTCTTCTACATTGTGATCATTTTTTAATAATTTCCTCATGATTATTGGGACAGCAGTTTCACATGAACAGATACTAATCGTTACATTTGTTGTTACCATAAAGAATAGTTCATATATTAAATATCCGAAAGCTACTGTTCATGACTTTTGAATGCATACATTTGATTGATCTTGCCATAGAATTATAATGAATAAAAAGGTGTGATTTAACTGAGGATTTATAATTGTCAAAAGTATTAAAAGTATTGTGTGTTGGGTTCTAATGCTGTAGTATCAAAACTAGATTATTAGTTTGTGCAAGTATCTGAAATAATATCATACAACAACAATTTACATAGACATGAGAGCAAACAGATTGGAGCCATTGGTCCAATTAGAGCGAGATGACCAATGACCATAAATGGTGATAAAAGTGGATACATGTTCTCAAACATCTGACATTCTCGCCGTTCTGTTGATATGCCAACATTATTCAAGAGCCTCTTTAAAATAACCTTCAGAATAACTTAAGCATGAAAATGGAAAGGGGAAAAGAGCAATCATAAATAATTTCAGAGGTTACAACATTGATTTTGAATATGAAGTATTTTTTCCAGTATCAAAGATTGATATTTAGTTTAGTGACAATACTATAATGAATATATGAACAAGAGCAGCCTGAATACATGACTGATCATTGGGCTCTGTCTCCCCTTGATGACGGTTCCATAAGCCCTGTTAGTTCTTAGATTGACACGTTCAATAGTTTAAGCAGCGCTGTGACACACAGCTCTGTCCTGCACTGGGGACACAAATGAGTTGGCCTCTTTACAGCTCCATTACAGCTCCTGTCTCGTGTTCCTTTGAAAACATATCACCGTGCTACGCTGGTTAGTATGCCTCGCTGCCATTCCACCTTATTGAGCCTGCGATAGAAGCTGACTTTAATTTCATCTGTGTGTGAATGAATGGACATATTTACTACACTGTTATTGTTGCTCATTCAAAGAGTTCATATCCTCAGATAATGCAACAGAGGATTTGCTGCTGACATGAGCCACATTGTGAGATACACAAACGAAAGACAAGTGAAACCAGGGACTTTTCTGAGTACAAAAAATATCTTTGGTGTTGAAATAAGGACAGCCGTTTCTGTGAAACCAAGCCAATGGGACTACAGATGAAAATAAGCCTCCATGGCACTGTGGCACGATTACATGTTGTAAAACTGCATTTTAATAATAATAATAATAATAATAATAATAGATTTTATTTATAACGCACCTTTCATATGCAAAGCACATCTCAAGGTGCTACATCAGAATAAAAACACATATATACAAATGTTAAAATACATTAAAACATGGGCTGCAGATCAGCAGTAGGCCTTCCTGAATAGCTCCGTTTTCAGGTGCTTTTTGAAGCACTCCACAGACTGTGGCGCCCGCAGGTCTTGGGGCAGGGCGTTCCACAGGCGTGGTGATGCGGCTGAAAAAGTCCTGTCTCCCATGGAGTGAAGGCGTGTGATTGGCTGAC